ACACATTAGTTCCCTCTCACCCGCTTTCGGTCAGTGCTCTCAAGGCTGCCATACGTCGGTACACATTTTTATCACGGTAAGTTATTATTATTTTTTTTTTTTGTACTTTAATGTTAAAAAAGCAAAGTTCGATTAGCCTCCATTTTTGCTACATTTCTCGTATTGATTTTTACGTGTGTTTACGTTGGTTGCCTATTATTTCTATCATTATTAACGATATGACGACAAAACATCGTTTATTTGTTTTCATAACTACCCAAAAGGCAAAACAGACCGGGCAAAGTAGATCCCGTGATCCGTTTTGCCTTCAAAGGAATTCTTATACTTTATTCTTCATTTTATTTGACAACTAATGCCAAATAAGGAAATACAATCGTGTTAACGTCGTCGTCCTACCGCAAAGAACTAGAACCGTTTCAAAACACTCGTGCAAAGAGACTAAAGAAGAATCTATTGTTCGACGATAAGAAAAATACACCGGAAAGGGCATAGGGAAAGCACAACATACTGGCACAAACAGAAGTAAGAAGAACAGGACGCCGTTTGACGAAGTAACCCAAGAAGACGTTGAGTGTCTTTATTGTTCACATCTTTTCTCAGAATCCAATGAAGGACGAGTGCAATGTCCATCGTGTTACTTATGGGTTCGTTGTAATTGTGCTGGTATCGACGACGCGAACGAGGATCCAAAGACGACTATTGTTGATCAGGGATTGTTGAATAATTGAAATGGGTCTAAGAAAAGCGATAGCCAAAAGCGAGGAATTATGAAAGACATTTCCGTAAGAACAATCTGTTCTGGCGATTCCTCGAGCAAGATACGCGAGGCACGCGGCTTCTTCGTCGACGGAGTCACTCAGTTAGATTATGCTGAAACTGGTGCTGTGTGGAAGAAAACAGGAGAAGCCAAGGGGGGCTTGACCAGCCTAGGTGAAAGCCTTGCACCGCGAGGACGTGACGTGTTAAGACTACAAGAGAGTTTACACACTGCTCGGTTTTAGCTCACCACTTTTGCTTGACGCTGACCTCGGAACGCCATTCTTTTATACAATTCACAGAATTTTTCCATGTAACCAGACTTAGATTAAATTTAATTTAATCAAGAATCAAAAAGTACGATGAGCCACTACGTAGTAACTGATACGTAACTGTATTAATATGTCCACTTTTGAGACTAATTCTTTGATCGTGGACAACTTTTGCGGAAGGCTTTTTCACGCATTTGAGCGATGCGCACGTTGAACGCTCATAGGCGTTCAACGCACACAGTCAACCGATCGATCGAACACGCTATAAGCGTTGTTTGCAGTCAAAGAAACTATTAACCACAGTCGAGACATCTATAAAAGTGAACCAAGACCTATAGTACAATTGAATACGCTCCACACGCAAGAAATAATCGATAGCCAAAATGGAACCTTTCTAACCAAAAATGTTGATCGCTTGCTAATTCTGATGTACCAAAATGTAGATTTCCTTACAACCAATAATGATGTATGCCAATTTTACAGAACACAAGAATTATTACCATCAAATTGAGAAAAACATTAAAACGAATGAAAATTTAAGGTAACAGTTGTAAAACAGAAATAATATAAAAAATAAATTTTGGAATACCAACATTCTGTTACTCTCGTTAACAAGGTCAGTTTTCCAATTATAAAATGAAACTATATTTTGTTACCTGTGTAAACATTGATTTATAAATATTCGAATGTCGATGTCAATACGAAAAACAGATTTCTCTGTGCTACATTCTATGAGGAAAATAACAGTACAGATCCCATATAAAATCTAGAAGGCTACGTGACTGCGTGCATTTCAGTCATTCCAACGTCAACAAAGAAGGAAGTTCACGCTCCTCTTATTATTGCGCTAACGCAATTCCTTATTGGAATCTGTTTCACCAATATTTCAAGCGTTACACCACGCCTACAGGCAAATCGTAGCGTTATTTATTTAATAAATATTCTAGCGGTATAACACTTAATTACCAATCCAGGTAAAAATAATTAAAAATTTACTGTTTATCGTGAGATTTGTATATAATACTCGATACGTTTGGTTGCTAATTTACACGATTAATTAAATTTTGATGTACTGGATATTTGAGTTTCTAACTACGTCCGAAGTGGGAACCACTGCACCCGTGCATTGCCCCTACCTCGACGCTACAACTTCAAGTTTACCCGTGAATACGAAGTGATTATGAGGCTGTATATATAAAAAATGTTACGATTTATCCTCTGCGAAATTATAGTATTGCATTTTGCCGTCTTCAACAGATTTAACGTTAAAGTGAAATAAAACAAGTTTTCAAAACATCTCGTAAATAATAAAAATATTAGATAAAAAATTGTTAAAAGAAGTAACTTCTCCGTAAAAATTTGTTTGAAACAACACTTGCCAGCATAAACAAACTTGCGAATCTAAAATGATACCGAGCAGATTTCATTGAGGAAAGCAATAAGAGAAATAAAAGTAAAAATAAAAGTAAATAGTTTTCCTCGGGATTGTTAACGGAGAATTGACACGATGAATAAATCAACTTTTTTGAAATTTTTAAATGTAACGCGGTCAAAAACACTAGAAAATAATCGAAATTGTAATTGATCAGTAGACACTGACGTTTTAATATATCGAACTCGATTTCTTAATTTCTTGGCTTAATAAACTGTATCACAACAGCGACGGACGCGTTAAATGTGATCTCGGTAACCTTTCGATTAGAAAATTGGCACAAAACAGTCCCAAAAAATGTCGAATACCGCAAGTCCATTTAGGGCTGTCTGTTTTTGATCGAATATTCGAGGAAATGCAACGTATTACAACTAAAAACAGAAAAATGTGTCTACTCAGCGTTATAGCCAGAATAAGTATGTGTATACACTATCTGGTGCATACTGCACAATAAAAATAAATGAAAAAAGAGAGAAAGAGAGAAACAGTTTAGACACGCTCCTAAAAATAGGTGGTCTAACGCCTGGATGCATACTCCATATCAGTTATAATTATCTGTTGCAAATCTTGATAATTGAAATATATGTATTCGTCTTTTTTCCTTTAAAGAGGCATGATTTACTGTTGGCATCTGGTCATGACTGGCGTCAAGGACACTCAGAAATGTTTTCACACAATTGTTGTTAACTTGTTAATAAGTGCAAATGTTCCATGTTTTACAACCTCACATATTCGAATATATGTATATACTCCACGATAATCAACAGAATATTGTTTCATTTTTAGTAATGGAAGTTTTATATATATTTACAAACTGAGAGTAATATCAAGAGAAGTCTTCTATCATATTTTTGGAAAATATCTAAGAATTAATGTTCATAACAAGTGATTTAATTTAAATGAAAAAATTTGTACAAAAAACGTAGTTGCTTTGAAATTACAGTTATCCCTCGAAGTACGCGGGGGTTCGGGACGCCAACGTGCCGCATAACTGAAAATCATGTAATTCTAAGGCCAACCAACACTCTCCCCCTACACTTCAAATATCTGTTAACGGGAAACCGTAATACAAGGATTACAGGAAAATTATACGTTCGTTTACATGCATGATATATATTTATTATATTTTATGAAATGGTAATTTTATATTTTCATATTGTGAAAAGACAGAAAATGGAAATTTGCAAACTTTTGTCACTACATTTAAAAAATCAATGCACTGTTCATTCATCACTCGTTTTTCACCATAAGCCAAGATGTGAAACAATAAAAATATTATCGAGAATATTTTAAACAGCGTTTACGAAGGATTAAATGTACCAAAGCATGAATCATGCGTGAATTACATTTAACCGCGTATCTCGATTAGGAATGACTTCCAAACATTTTCGGCATTCTTTAAAAATTTTGCAGCAATCAACTTGACAGGAATACGTTCACAGAACTTTCTTCATCCTCAAAATGGGGCGAGACGTACGCTCCTGACATTCACTCGTCTCTATTTTCAAAACATCCTGTATACAGGTAGATAAATGCATAAAGTCCGTCCACATTGTTAGGTTGGCATGTATAGCACAAGTACGTTCGAGATTCGTCGAGTTCAACGAAAAGGTGTTCCTAGACTCGCCGGACCAGGACAGACAAGGACTTTCGAACGGTGAAAACAATGTCTGACACAGTTTTCTGGCTTCATCGAAAGGCGAAAGGAATGTTACGACGAACGATCTCGTTATCCATCGAGAAAGGAGATGAAAACGTCGCGTTTTCAACAGTTTCTCGAGAGATTGTCAGCAGTAGAAATACACATTACGCGAGAATAATCGAACCATATTCACTGCGATCAAAGGATAGATGCACTGTTACCGGTTCTCGGCCCTGCTGCAACCTCCTTAATTCTCTCACGCGCGGAAAACTCAGGGCCGACATGAATCAGGCATGACATTGGGTCGCATAACAAACTTCAAATCCCACTGACGCTCGCACACACGCGAGTGTTATATATATAGTATGTGCGTATGTGTGCGCGCGCGCATACGATATTCAGATATATACGTATATATGCATACGCACACGCACACAGGTGTATATATATACATAACTCATTATATGTACATATGCCTGTACACGCACAACATATACATACATGTATATATATATATATACAACATATATACATAATAAGAATACATACATATATACATATGTATTTATCTATATATGTATATGCACATATATGTACTATGCATTATACATATATGTATACATGTATAGATATATATATTTCACTGGCAGCAGAGGGGGGAGGGGAGTGCCGCGATACACAACACCGACGTCGACAACGAACGATCGAGTACTGCCCACGGGAATTCTCCGATATATAGGTTAACCCGGGCGACTTGTATTCGCGACATTGCACGGTACCTTTAACTAGTCATTGGACAACTGGTTTCCGCCCAGCAAAGCTCGTTCGTTCGTAATTCCAAAAACAGAGAACGTATGCGCCCTGACTCTTGCAAAGAGTGGGCTCACTGATCACTCACCAGTGCGAAGAAATTTGTGTGGCAGTCCTCCAGGCTAGCGCCGTTCGTTTGATGCGACGGATGCGTCATGGCTTCTCCATCGTAAGCCGTACACTCATTAGCAACACTTCTCGCGACGACGCGCCTCTCTCAGCCCCGAAAATCACACGGCGAGGCCGCTATTATTCGAGAACATTTAGGAGGGTTTTCACTTCTCAATGGCGACCGTAAAATGGCGGACGATGGGAAACAACAAGCGCAGCCGCCCGAGGTGCCCCCTATCGCTCACACGCGCAGTTCGCTTCAACGACGAGGAAGAAGATGGCGGCGCTCATCAGGCATGGTTTACTCGGAAATCTTTCAAAAAGTACATCCTCGATTCTTGCCGTGAACACGGTTAGTGTAGACACTTCACGTGCACTTTTTAATCATCACTATCACAAAACACTCCTTACTGGGAGTGAAAAACTTCAATTTGCATGCAACGCACACTAACGAGGCCACCGTCATTTTACAGACAAGTCTGCGATGCAATGTAACGCGCTCCAAAAGCAAGAAGGTTGTCAAAAAGACGAAATTCAGACTCGAAGACAACAACAAGTCTCTTGCTGCCAAAGGGTAAGTAATTTACTTATCTTACGTACGAATTCGATCGAAATATTCGCGTTACGTCGCGCCGCTTGCTAACTGGCAGAGGACACTCTGTGGCCATATTGCCGTTTGCCACCTCTCCTTCGTATACTAGCCAATGAGCTGCCAGATTTGACAGCTTCTCAGGGTAGACTCTCGTGCTTCCAGTGCCCCTACTTTACGTTCTTGTACAATTTATTCTTTGCTACATACTTACATGTGACTAGGGATGGAAACAAGAATATTGCAAGTAGCATCGAAATTTGACAGGATATGTTCGAATTATTTACTGTCTCTTGGTCGAAAAATAGTAACATTGGATTTAACATTAAATTAAGATCTAATAAAATGTGTTCAAATTTTATAATGTAGATCCCGGAAAATACTAATGTGACGTTCAAATGGAATTATTTTTAAAATTTTTTTACATTAAAATAATGCCAATGTAGAACTAAATTAATGAACAATTAATAACATTCTCATAAATATTGGATTATTGTACATCGTCACATTGTACAATCTGTAGGAAATTAAAATAGGTTCCAGCAGCTTCAATAAAAATTTTCATTACTAAATTTGATGTTGTATTTTCAAGTACATGTTATCGTTTTATTTTGATATCACTTACATTTAAGTACTGTGCAAGTATATCAAACGAAATATCAATTTCTGTTTTAAATGCTATTCAATTTCAATAACATGATACTGAAATATTGGTTAGATTCAGATTTCTGAGTACCTATATGCTGAATTGAATTCCACCTTTACGTGTGACGTAACGGTTGGCCGTACCTTTTTGTACCGCTATATGAGACTTTCCGTTGATCGCGATAATTCTCTCTACTGCGTAACTTTAAAATGTTTTTCGTTTTTAAAAAGTAGAATTTACTTTCAAAAAAAGAATGTAGAATGTGTATTTCGTATGTACAAATGAAGTTTATATTTTTTTCATGATGTCTGTTAAGTACATAGATATAGTTTGAGAATATAATTATTAATTCGCAAGATCATCAAGTAAAATATATTTACAACGAAAATAAGGCGTGGGTGACAATTGAATCTATATATTTTTATTCCCTAATTGTGCCAATTTTCGTTGAGAACACCTGTTTCTAAGACCAAATTTCGTTGTCCTTATAATCAACATCGACAAATTATCACAAGTAATTGTGTAGATTAAGTGTATCGTGTACGAGAAACGAGAAATCTACGATCTGATTTTCTAAACGAACTAACTTCCATTTAACTACATGTTAATAGTTGTCAAAAACCGAATCGTAATGTCAACAATTTTCATGTATATATTTATTTTTTAATTAATGACAGTATGAACAGTATTAGCAAATTTTTGAATTTAATTAAATAGCTATAATAATCTCAATTTCAAAAACAAATTTCGCCAGAATACCAAAAACTTTCATAGTCACAGGGTTTTCCCATTTTCGATTTCGTTCCTGGCCAATATTAGCCATAACTGTTCCTGAGAAAATACAACTGAGGGCACCACTGTACGGTCGTTGGACATCGATCTTGTCCCTTCTCTTTCCCTTCTCCGTTACTCCTATACCCTCCTTTTCTAAAGGAAGCCTCTTGTCGCGTATCGTCCAGTAACCGAAGTCTTATACACTGTATGAAAAGTTTGGCGCGAGTCGTGTCAAGATAATCTAAAAGAGATGATGTTGAATTGTAACGTACGAAATCAATGACTCTATCAACGAAGATAGTTTTCAAAAAAGTAGTATTACCATGAAGAGTAACATATTCGATATCTTTCGAAAGAAAGCTGGGAAAAATATATGCTGATGCTATTTTATATGTATATCTCTTGCTGCTAGATACAGAATTCTTTAAACTATAGATTTACTCTAAAAATTCACTTAAAAGATGAAAATGAACAACTCGTTCGCTACCCATTTGCATTCAGAATTCAATCAACGACATGGTGTCTACAATATTTTTGTTTATAATCGTCGTATCATTATATTTATAATAGCCAGTTTTAACTTCGACTACCGGATTCAACGTTCAAATTTCTGAAAGCGGTTACATTCTGTTGTCTTCCGTTAAAAAAAGCTTCAACGTTTACAAATCGTTCCGTTTTCAGATCGTTTTACAGATTCACAGTTAAACATTTACCGTAGCTCGTTATCGATCCGCGTTTGCAGTCTATGGAAAATGGATTATCTTGTCGCTGAGAATAATAAGAGAAATAATTTCTTTCTTCGAAAATTGTTGAAAATCTATAGTTTTTGTATAATATCTCGAGGAAGACTGTGTTAACTTGTATATAAAATGGAAATAAATAATATATTAAAAGAACATATGTTAAGTTTAATATTATCAATTTACGGTGCGTTGATTCTACCTAATTTATTCGTGGATTAATATTGTCCTTATTTTTTAATTATTTACACTTTTTCATATTTTGTACGATTTAAAAAATCGAATAACGACGTTTATCCTTCGGTCATGTTTCCATAGAATCTTCTTTCGTTCATTCATAGTGTTGATGAACTCTTGCATTCATTTTTTAAAAGACATTATAACTAATACGCATCATTCATAACCGAATTTACAAATTAAAAAAAATAAAGTTTATAATTATTTTACATATTTGATTTTACTGTACGTAGTATAATGTAATTTCAATAATAACAATAATAGTAATTAAAAAAATAACCTTCATTATTTAACAAATAAAAACAGCAATACTAGTTTTTATTTCTTAACCAAACCTGATATGTTTGATATATCAAAATTATGATATTTGGCATTTTATCGAAATAAATCTTTCACGATAAAATAAAGCTAGGTGCCCCTAGCAAAATCGATATTTTCAAGATTTGGTACATTTGTGGCTGAGACAGAATTAAAATTTAAAGATAACATTACAATTTCATTGAATTAGTTTAGTATATTTAATTTTAATTATTGTCGATAATATGTAAATGAACAAAATATATAAGTAGCATATTTTTTCTTTCATACACAAAATTATAATATTAACGTTTTAAATATTCAATTGCGTTTGTACATATTGTCTTTTGTAAATAATTTTGTATCAAATTTTGTATTATGATAAATAATTCTTTATATACAATTTTTGTTATTTAATAATCAAAATTAAGTTCTATTTTAAATATAAACAATAAATTATTTTTGCAATATTTAATAATGTTTGTAATAATGATAACCTAATAATTATTATAATGCTTACAACTCATACTATTTAATTATAGAATAAAATAATACTATTTTCAGTAATAACATTTAAAAATATTCTTCCAATTCCTTACCCATTTTAAAATTTGTATTAATATTGTTATTATTATTTTTTTAGTACATTGGAAAATGAAACAAGAATGTATTTCATTGCCTGTTTCAGATTTCTGAGATATCAAAAGGGATATGACCCACCTGCAAACGCGTCTGATCTAATAAATAACATTTGCAATGATCAAGCAATTTCAACAAATGACAGTACAAAACTTGAGGATCCATTACAGCGTTTTAATCTTTTCTTAGCATGTGAAAAAGAACTTCAACATTCCATTCCAAATTCTGTACTGTATAGTATCGAAACAATTGGTAAGTTTTCTACAATAATGTCATACAAAATTTTTATAGTTTTAATCTTTTGTACACTGCAACATTTCAATAATAGAAGTTTAACTTAAATATTGCTTACATAAAGATTTTGGATTTTAATCATATTTACTATTTATGAAATATTTCTGCTGATAGTACTGTTTGTAAACAAACTACAGTCATTTGATTCTTTTTAATTAGAGATTTATTGTAATTCAAGGTTGCTTTGATTTCATAATATTTTTCTTAAATTATCAAAATTGTGTTTTTTGATTTATCTACATGTATATGTATATATAATACAATTTTTATACAGTTTTACTTCAATTCTTAAGTGTATATCTTAAAGTATATTCAATTAAAGTTTGTTTTATTATACTTATCACTTGAATTGCAGACAAATTATTTTACAAATTAACAGTATCTCAGGGCAAATGTCATTTAAAATAATACTTAAATTACTGATTTCATAAAATAAAATTCACAGTAGAGGACAAATTTATTTAATGAATTACATTTTGTGTTATTTCTGTAGATAAAAACGAGATAAATTATTATATTTTTAAATTAATAATTTTAGTTTTATTTCAAATGATACATTAGACATTTTCTATAATTATTGGATTACAGATTGTAAAATCACAAAACAATTTTGTTTAAATGTAATATTATTTGTATGCTTTAGTCAAATAATTAACAGTAATTTGATTTTTGCTGTAATTTTTATGTAAATATTGAACTATTTTGTGTGCATAAAATGTTATTTAAACACTACACAGTATTATAAAATTCTTTTTATGTTCCAGCTGATTTGAAAGAATTCTATCAAACACCAATAGGTGTTAACACTCCACTGGATGGGATGCGTACTATGGAATTACCAAAGAATTTACATATTACTTATGATTATCATCGGTTTCATCCTAGTAAGTTAATTTTTAAGTTGATTTTTTGAAAAAAGTAACCTCATTGTTTTAAGTTAGAAAATATCTTTATATTTCATTCTAATTTATAACCTATTCCTATCTTTTGAACGGTTTCGTAATCCCTCATTCATAATAATTTGTTTACTTATTCATACAAAACTAATTAAGAGCTGTTTAATGGTCTGTTAGAAAACAAAGTTTTGTTCATTGAGAGAATTTTACAGAAAATGAAATACATGGTCAAAGACTTATTTTTTAGCCAACCCAATAGTATGTTTATAATTGATAAATTTACTTGAGTATTCTAATAACTAATAACATTATTTCAGGCACAGACACTATGTTTGATGGAAAAACCGCATTCCCCAAAAGCTCCACTATAGTAACTGGTTTGAAATACAAGAAGAAATATCCTGGGTGTGTGCAAGAAAATCCATATTTGGATCAGTTACTTAAAATTTAAGTGCTTCAAAAATTGATGAATTTAAGAATGTTAAGTAGATTGTATGGAATCAAAAAATATATAAAAATATCAATAAACATACGTATTTCTAATTACATTACTGTTTCTTCGATTGTCACAAATCTGATCATCAGATTGTCATATAGTTATCTTCATCATTTCATAATCAAAGATAATAACAATAATATCAACGTCCTAATACAACCATACAATGAGAAAATTCATGTAGGCCACACTACTTGTTAGATTAATTATTATATCCTTATTTCTAGTTTTACCTATCTGTGTATCTACCTATATTATACTCTTTTATTCTGCTTGTATGCTATCCTATTTTCCTCAATGGTCAATAAGCAGAGTCGATATTTATGTTAGACAGAGTTTGAAACATGCAGTTTTTGGCGCCGTACGTCCATTGGTCACGTTGCCCGCTTTAACGGTAAAAAGAACCGATCACTACTGGACACGTTCTTCGAGTTTTGATACGATTTCAAAGTAATGTATCTTTTCGTCTATTGTAGAATATTCTTAAATACTTGTGAAACTGTAGGTAGTGTTTATTTGAAATCATTTGATTACCCTGATAGATTAGAGGCCTACAACGCCTGAGATATTTAAAATAAACTGTCTCGCGTCCTGTAGAAGCAAAGCGAGGTTATTTGCACGTGTCGTGTCAGTTTGTCTATCTCTTATTTTTTTTCTATTATAATCTGCCCGTGTCTGTTTAAGTTTAAAAAGTTTTACATTATGTTGCAGGTAATTCATTTTCATTGAATAGATATTAAAAAAAAATAACATGCACAAAATTTTATGAATACTTCGTAATTTATGATTGGTATTATATGCCTTCTGTTATAAACATTTATCAACTCTATCAAATCGGTATTTAAATAAAAACAGTAATTAATATAACATTAATTGAACGATTCGCTTACGAACTATATTACAGATTATTTCTTCCCAATATAGAAAAGATATAGACAAATTTCGTCAATATACGCAGAAAATTACAGAATATTTCGTAAGCTCTATAGATAGTATTACATCAGTATACAAATTTTTCAGATTTTTTTTTATCTTTTCTATAGAACTTTGATTAGATAATATTAATAATGAAGAACGTTAGATTTGTAGTGTACCCTCTCAGTTCTGGAGGGGTTGCCATATGGATAGTAGTGTTATTTCAGATTCGTAAAACTACGTGTTTTAATTACAATTAGCTATAAATTCAGGACGAGGATTTAACAACAATGAACAATCAACGATCGATCGAAATTTTATAATTTGTACACTTTATTTCTCTTTTTCGTTTGCATAAAATACGCTAAACTGTATTGCGTGCACATTGATATGGCAATCATCCTGCTAGAAAAACAAGTGCGCGTTTATTCTAGAATGAGAACGTGACACTTTATAATCATGAAATACAATCACACTATACGTATGCAATTTACTATTAAGGAAACGTTTATTAAATGCATTGCATATAAATAATTTCACGTCGATCTATAAAATGTTCGTAAAAATTCATTTATAAGAATTTTATTAAATAGTGTGCATGCATTCAACTATTTTTACACCTCATTCGTTATTTACTTTCATACTTTGCCGACAATCTTTTCAAGAAATGTTAACAAGGTCCATTTTCTTTATTTTTTATTAAGAAATACTAAAAATTTAAAATAGATCATACGCGAGATCCTGGAAAGAGATTCAGTCCAATTCATTTACACATCATATCAATTAATCATGCATAATTTTTATGAATATAGAAGATAAAATTTAGTGGAATACATCGACATCCTCGAATTATCATACTAAAAAGTTACTACTAAAAATACTATTTAGGACTATTTATTTTTTCATAGTTATCGAGTTATGAGCTCTCTAAAATAACGCGGCTGAATAATTTCATTGATTCACGATCATTTTTGTGACTGCAATTTTATCGTGAAGCCACTTTGCTTTTCTGCGATTTCAATAATTAATTACTACAAAATTATCACACAATTCTAAATAAACTATGCTTTTCTTGTCAATAAATGACATGATTAAAAATAATCAGATACGTGTCTCGGCAAATAGCCAAAATCTACATATCGAGATCGAATATTAAATCATTATTGAATCCTGCTGTATTACATCACCTACGACTATCCCAAACTGCTATCACTGTGTCTTCCGAAGTTTCTTCTTGCGACGACGGTTTATTTTGCTTAAGTATAGGTTTTATTACCTGAGACATAGTACGTGGCGCATGTCGTCTCCTTTTCTTAACTCTAACAATGCTACCATTAGATCTGAAAAATGAAATTAATTAAATAATAACACACGCCGCATTATTGGGAAGAATTTACTGCTGATATTATAAACGCAACAATACCTAAAGTATTGTATTGATATCATGGTATCGAATCGAACTGTTTTTTTTAAACTCCAAGAATCTGATTCTATGGACGATGTGACAATCCCATTTTCATCGATGCTCGATTCAGACACTGAAGACGAAAAATCATGAATACGGCGTGACTTCAATACGTCTCCCGACAATGTACCTGCTATACTACCGTCACTGGTTAATTCATCTCCGCTGTTTTCTGAAACAGATCTAGTTTTTGTCACGGTGTGTTCTCGCGTGGAATTTGTACTTTCTTGACCCACTTCGTCGTCGGAATCTAATTGATTCGGGCTAATATTTATAACAACACCATCATCCTCTGCCTGTTCATTGACCGTCCCATCATTTCCCAGTTTTGTGTTTTCCGTAGCCTGTAGAAGATATAATTAAATATACAATAAACTTCGGCTGCAATAGCCGTATAAAAGGTTTACCGTTAATTCTTTCAGCAGGTCTTTGAAAGACGCCGCAGATGGATAAAGTTTTTCTTCCATGAACTCTTCGTTTAGTCCAACATAATATCGCAATAAATTTTCGGTATTGTTTAATAGAACAGTAAATAGAACGTCATTATCACACGGGTCGATCGTGAGGGAATCAGGATCCACAGTATCATTGTGTATTTTTATACATAACGAATAGTGTTGTGGAATTAATTCTGCACTTACAGACATTAACAAAATGTGTATTCCTAAATTATTTTGCAAAATTCTATGGCGAATGGAATTTGGATTCACGTATGTTACATCTACAGTGATTGCTAATTGATTAAGATATATGTTACAAGTAAACGGTGGCAGTGTGTACTTAATGCTGGAATCTATAAACGTATCTATGTTGTCTACATTATTAGTCCGCAATATACTATCGCTACACTCTTCTAAACTTTCACTTTCGTTTTCTATTTTTGTGGTTGTAAACACTGTTTTGCACTTTTCACCTAACTTCGGCATAGAGTCACTCGAGTGACTGTTACTTAGAGAATTTTCCAGCGCATCTTCAGGCAACACTGGTACAGGACTACCATGATCGCTATCAACTCCACTATCCTCCCTAGTATCTAATGGTGTCTCCACTGGTGGAATGACTGGTAATGTTACAACGAGTTTCTTATATTTTGTATCGAACCTCGAACTACCACCGGCTGCGTGTACACAATAAAATAAAGGGAGTTCCAATAAATATTTTGCAGGCTTCTCACTCTTTAAACTAAGGTAACGTTCTTGCACATCCACGAAAACATCAGTGGCAGTTTTTAGTAGAGGTAAATCTATGGTGATGATTAATTTTTTAGGTATTGTAGAGTTTATTTTTGCAGTTTCACTAGTCTTAAAGTCATCTAGCTCCATGTCAGATTGATATTTTATAGAGAACTTAGGTGTAACATATTTGCTATTTGTTTCTGCGTTTGTATTTGATGTATCTTTATGACGCGTAGTTGATCTTGATGCACGCTTCGATTTCCTCACAACACGCTTCAGTTGTCGTTCTCTTTTCTCGTCATAATCGGACATCAACTTTTGGTAGATTCCTGGCTTTGTGTTAAATTGTTTCGTAGTCCGAGGTATAGTCGTTACTTTACGTTGATTAACAATGCTAGATTTAGACCTAAAAAATTAAACAAATAAAATAATAACATGCGACGCGTCATCAAAATTTGTACTGTTAACATTAAAAAACGTAACAATACCTAAATAACTGTTGTGACACGATCTCATTAAATCGCACAGTTTTCTTTAAATTTGAGCAATCTGTTTCAGAATTTATATCTTGCTCCGAATCATAATGACTATCTATAGGCGACGTGGGCATTCCACTTTCGTCGGTGCTAGATTCAGATGTTGAACGCGAAAAATCATGAGTGCGACGTGACTTCAATATACCTTTCGAAAATTTACCTGCTGTACTGTTATTCGTTAATTCATCGTCAGTGCTTTCTGAAACAGATCTTATTCCTGTTGTGGCGTCTTGTCGATTTTCATATTGTTGCGTTGATTCTGTTATTTCGTGTACCGGTTCGTAATCAGAATCTGATCGATTTGAACTAATATTTATAACAACACCATCATCTTCTGCCAGTACATTGATTGTTCGATCCTTTCCAAGTTCTGTGTCTTCCATGATCTGAAAAAAAAAATACAATTAAATGTAAAACAATTTTTAATTAGTAGCCATATAAGACTTACCGTTAATTCTTTCAGTTGGTTCTTAAAAGATGCAGCAGTAGGAAAATCTTTTTCTTCCATGAACTCGTCGGTTCGTCCAACGTAATACCGAACTAAATTTTCAGTGTTTTTTAATGCAACAGTAAATACAACGTTATTATCCCACGGTTCGCTCGAGAGAGAATCAGGATCCATAGAATCTTCCGAAATTTTTAAGCATAACGAATAATGCTGTGGAAAAAATCCTGCTCCTACAGATGACAACAAAACGTGTATTCCTACATTATTTTGCAAAATTCTATGACGAATGGAATTTGGATCCACGTTTTTTACATTTACAGTGATTGCTAATTGGCTATCATATATGTTACATGTAAATGGTGGCAGTGAATATCTAATGTTGGAATCCATAAATGCATCCATTTCATCTATTCTACTAGTCCATGATACTGTCTCACTATACTTTTCCAAATTTTCACTTTCATTTTGCATTTTTGTAGTTGTAAGTACTGTTTCGTACTCTTCGATTAACTTTGGTACAGTGTTGCTTAGGTGACTATTATCAAGTAAATCTTCCAATGAATCAGTGTTCAACACTGGTACAGAACTATCATGGTTGCTATCAATTTCATTGTTTTCTGTATTATCTGATACTAGTACTACTGGTGGAATGACTGGTAACATTATAACAAGCTTTTTAAATTTTGGATCAAATTTGGCATTGCCATTGTTTGCATCCACACAATAAGGCAATGGGAGGTCCAATAAATATTTAGCAGGTTTTTCACTTTTTAGGCTAAGGTAACGTTCTTGAACATCTAAAAATGCATCATTGGCAGTTTTCAGTAGTGGTAGATCTATAGTGACAATCAATCTTTTAGGTACTGTGGCATTCATTTTTGCCATTTTACTAGTAGTAAAATCTTCCAATTCTACATCTGATTGATGTTTTATGGAAAACTTAGGTGTAACATATTTGCTATCTGTTTCTGCATTTATATCCAATGTTTCTTTATAATATGTAGTAGCTGGTGACGCACGCTTTGGCTTGTTTACATGCTTAAATTGTTGTTCTCTTTTCTTGTCATAATCAGCCATCAACTTTTGATATATTTCTGGTTCCATATCCAATTGTTTTTTTAGTGGTTCCTTGGAGGGCTTTCTGATGACTGTAGGAAGAGGTAAACCTTTGTACTTCATGTTTGGAAATCTCAGATTTTTTCTATCCAATTTCACCTGATAGATGGAAAATTAAAACGTTATAATAAATGAAGGAAAAACAACGAAATTACATTGTGACATTTACCTTAAAATTATTTTCCACGCCATCCATTGCCGTGTTATTGACAGTTTCGCGAAATTGAGCATTCTTCGACGATAAATAAATTGTATCGGGGTGAAAGACCACGTCAAAAACCATACAACGCATATTTTTCTTATCAAGGTCGTCACGAGCTGATAGGAGCGCATAAGGAATAAACCATTGTAAACTCCGGTGACCTTGTTCGAAAGCAGGTTGATTGCTCGGTTGTGCAATAACGTTGCTCTTGCAGATATTCAGGAAACATTTTTTGTCTCCATTCACGCTAGTTTTTATGACGTAACCAGGTTCTGGGTTAACAAATACAACGTCGACGCCCCGTTCTTTTTCTAATTGTGTTATCTCTTTCTCATAGATCTTCCTATTTTCCGGATCGGTCACTTCTTTGACGTGTTCCACTAGTAATTTGCGGAATTCCTCCTTCTTCAGGCATTCTGTTAATGTCTTCAGTTCTTCCTTGGTCACCTCCAAATCTTCCCAATCTTTTCTACGTGTTTCGTACGCGTCCATCTTACGAAATGATGTCGCGTGTTTACAAATAAACTCGTTGGTAGAAGAATCGCGAAGCGCCTGTACCACGTGGATAGCGGCGCTACTACGCCGGCCGGTCAAATAGCGGTTAAACATAGAACTTCCTAACAACTAATGGCGCGCGCGCCATTTTTCTTCTATCGGTTGATTATAATTTTTTAAATCAAGGTCCCCTAAAATTTTTAAAAAATCATTTTACTTCCCCGCATAAGAAAGAAGCGCTTCAATATCGAATATACTTTTCAACTCGAGCTCGAAATCACAGACGAGTTATACGAGTAGACTTTACACCTTGTGGATTTTCGTGACCCAAACTGACTGTCATACTCTTCTCATGGATAGCAGTAAATTTAGGAAATTTTGTATAAACAGTTTATTTAGGAAATTACAATAACAAATGTGCGTATGTGCCCACATTAGACAACGTAAGAACTTATTTTACAGGCACGCGAAAATCTTATTAAAAATTGCATCGACAGTGTTCGAGTTACATTGAAATAGCAACAAATAGAACGCAGGTATGTGTTCGTATAGCTAAGCGTAAACATTCGGGTCAATATAGTTACAGTCAGTTTACTTTATTCAGTTTACTTTGAGAATTTTTTACATAGTCATAGATACAAGTGTTTTCGTTTCTATGTTTTAAAGCGCAAGCTCGCTCATCATTTGCTATGCGTGCAAGCGAATGTAAAGTATTTTCGTCGACATAAATGTGTATATTTCTACAATCGTCAAGTACGTATTTACAGTTGTTAAACTGGACTTAATAGGAAGACGAAGGTCTTGTTGAAAAGTAGGTAAAGATGTATGAAAGTGGAAGAAACGTTATACATTAATGTCAATAATACGTCATTTTCAGTTATTCTCCACTATGCTTAGATACCAATTAGACACGACAATTTGATAAAAATTGTAGTCTACAACAATACTAATAAATACTGGCATTTGAATATTTTTGAAATACTAAAGGAGCGCGCGTCTTTTAATATAACTTACCCCTTAGACTTCAAATGAGTATAAAATGGTTATTCGACTACATCGACATAAAGGCTCAATGGAGGTCGATAGGTTTAAAAGGACGGAGGAGAGGGCAAAGGAATAAAAAATGTGTTGCGATATACCGCAGTCTTTAACAATAAGTTATTTATACAAGTGAGCGAACTTTCCACTTGTAAAAATTGTTAGACAGCTGCCATTAAACACCACGAGTTTGTGATAGCACATTAATGGTAAAATTTTTTGTATGTATTAGTGTTCGATAACACTCTTGTGTTAGAATCCTTAAGACACGTCCTGAGATTCTACTCAAGTAAAACTATCATACGAATCGGATCCGACGTGAAATCGACATTTTGATAGTAAAATACTTCGATCTACAACTCTGTGATCCCTTGGCACAATATTAAAAAAATTCGCGATTATTGCGAAATATCCACAGCCCTGAATCGATTAAAACATTGTTTTTTTTTTCTCGGTGCATTAATTTTGGGAAATCGATCAATTTTTCAATGGCTGACATAATTCTTAGCTAGGAGTATAATGACGAAATCTTAAAAAATGCAATATACTTCAGAAATCAAGAACTGTTGCAATGAATGATTACAACCATCAAATTACGAAATATGAGCGCATAATATGTGCGTTCAACGTGCAAACGATCTGTTTATAGATCGTTGTTTAAGCATCTCAGGTACGTAAGCGTGGACGAATTTTTGTGCCCTGTTATAATGTCATTCACTTCCACAGATATTTTTTCATCATAACACACGTCGTTTTGTTCCCAAAATAATAAATCATTAAATGACTGTTTCCCGTATTAAAACGAGATCGTAATTTTTTCACATTAGGTCAGATGGTGGTCTTTGAAATGCAACTGTTTGCTACTGAAATACTACTTTGAAATGCAACTACTTGCTAGTGCAATACTACAACGACAAGCTATTATCACTCCCAAGCATATGTATGATGACGTTATTAGCCAAAACGCAAATAAATATAACGTTTTGTTACAATATTTTCCAAGAGATGGGTCATAATTTGGTTCGTATTCCTTATACACCCACATTGAGCCTATAAAATCAAAACAACATAAAAGTGAAACAGTTCAAAATGTTATAATAAATATTAGAACAAGATGTTGATCATATTACTGACCTATGATAAACCAACCAAGCATAAAACAGTTGATTAATGTTTGAGTCGGAGACTCTCGTATTCTTTCTTCGTCTCGTTCTTCTTGACATTGGCACAGTCCTGCTGAGAAATGTAACAACTGTTTGAAAACAGCAAAACCACCACCCACTAATAAATATACAGGAATATATTCTCCTTGTGGGCAATCATTTAGATAAAGTCCTCCAATGACCATCATAGATATTGGAACTGCAGTTGTTACTCCTAAGATAATAGTACATCCAACTGAAATCAACGGAGCACAAAAGTAGTAAAATTATTTTGAAAAAATGCATTAAATTATAATCAATTAGTTTACTTACTGGTGCCTAATAGTAAGATAATAATATTTTTCAAAAAATCAAATACTCCTTTTGAAACTTTATGTGCTTCTCTCATACGACCAAACAGTGAATCGTAGGATGGAGGAGGTGCTAAAACATAAAGATAATCACATTTTCAAAATATTAATTACATATGTTACTTGTAATTGAGAACTGTTACCATTTGGATCTATTGCTTCCTCGTACGAAGGGGGTGTACCACGATCATTACCCAGAATAGATGGGTGACCCAAAGGTAAATTAATGTTATAATTTAAAGGTGGAGGAGCATAACAAGTTGATGTTATTTGAGTACTTGTAACAGGATTTACACTCTCATTTGTGTCGATGGAATTACTTTGACTTATTTGACTTAACGGCATCTCTTCGCGTATATTTGTTGCTTGAAGCCAATGCATATAGTTTACATTAAAAATTTCGTGATGTTTGGCCGTTGCCGCTATCGACAACAGCACACACGCACACACGTATCTTTATAACCTATGAACAACTTTTGCTACGTCGATGCAGTGAAAGCGATGATTAAAATCGCAAATTGTTAAAATATGGCACCAGTTATTCCAAAAGTACAGTTTAAAACGATTCAATTTTGTACACTTCGATCGAGTATAGATCGTAGATATAAACAAAAGGAAAGAAACACTTCAGCATACGTGGTATATTTGTCGAAAGCACTTTAGGACAACAATTCGTTTGATTTTGTAAAAAAGCTGACAGTAAAATTTACACAGCACTGAATTTTATTTAAAAAAGAGAAAAAGTGCTTCATCCAACTACGAATTGTCACACCCCCGATTTTGGAAATGCAAACAATCTTAACGCGTAAACCCGGCGTCTACATTTGGTTAAGCCCACTTTTCTTCAAGCAAATCACAGTGAAATGGTTGCAATGCGGAAGCATGCAACATTTCACATCAGTTTTATAGCGTCCAATGATTACGTTCAAGGTCACCATTAATTCGGAAGCTTACTTTTGCGCCACAAGAAACCATGTGCGGCGTACATATAAATTAGACTCCGTATGCCGTATCGAATATTGTAATATCGACGACGACAATTCGATGTTGGCAAATATGGCGCGATTTTAAGTCGAGGATTCAATTATAAGTGCGGGATCATTCAAAATTCTCAAACATTATTGTCTATAAAAACTGCATGTAAAATAGGTGCTTTCACATTAGAAACTTCATTTCCATGCTTTTATCATTTTCATTTAATTACATTTTTCTCATCACAGTAACATTACAAGTAAAAAAAGTAAAATGGGTTTCTCAAGCCCCAGAGAAATGACCCGAAAAAATACATTTGACGTATAAATAAAAGTTATTAAAAAATTAAATTAAAAAATTTCAAATCGTTCTGGAAAAATTATTTTCGGTCTCGGGGGTCAATTACAATCATTTTTGGTCATTACACATACCACCGAATTCCTACGCACTTTCGAGAAAAAAATTCCTTATCGAAAATCTAATTGTCTAAATTTTTCGACGACTAAAAAATTTCAAATCGTTCTGGAAAAATTATTTTCGGTTGCGGGGGTCGAACATAATTATTTTTGGTGATTAGACATACCCCCGAAATCCTACACACTTTCTAGAAAAAAATTTGAGGTGTGAAATTTTTCGACGGAGAAAAAAAATTTCAAATCGTTTTGGAAAAATTATTTTCGATTGCGGTGGTCAATTACAATCATTTTTGGTCATTACACATACCACCGAATTCCTGCGTATTTTCGAGAAAAAAATTCAGTACGAGCGAAACTTTAAACGTTAATAACTTTTTAACGAAGCCTCCATCAACAAATTGGTATTCTTGATTTTCGTCTTATTTTGGCCTCTAGAATCTCCCATTAAAATTTTTCTCACACCGCCGAACACCCTGTATAGGGGATATAAAAAATCAGCCATTGCTGAGTTAAATGCGACTGGTGTTTAAGGTCGTTATTCTGATAATTAAAATCCTCCAAAATCCCAAACTTCTTAGCACTAACTTTTGTTAATTATACATATGTAATAAAATATCAATACAATTGCATCGAACAAATGTTATTCTCGTGTATGAAGACTCTTGCGAGCTATTGTAAGTAATTTATTACTTCTAAAGCAATCTGAATTTCAAATGTCAGAGAAGAGTGATTCATTAGCTGATACGTATAGCGGATTAATCCCGTCGGATGATTATCTCGAAAGTATGCATTTCTTAGTCATAATTAATTAAATGGTCGTGGAAAAGTTGAGTTTCCCTTTTCACGAGATCTACACTTGGTGGGAGTTAAGGTGAAGATGTGGGGATCAAGCGGTACAGAGTCTCTGACCCACTGACATTCTCCTCAGTTTCTTAGTAGACACAACCGCCGCTAATTCGTGACTGAAAGTTCCGATGTCAGTAATCAGAACTATCGGTCGTAGACTATTCAAGAAAAAAGGGTTACATCCACCGTCGCAGTATCGCAAATCGTATCTCATTTTGACATGCGTCTGAACCGTAGCGTTTTAACCAGTGTCACTGTATGCTCGACGGTTCTGTTCATTGTTTTGAGATCGAAATCCACGACAGAGTTCGATAATCATTCGGGAGACGATACAGAAAAGCGTTATGAGAAGGAACAGGATAACAATAATGGCCAGGTGAATTGTATCTAATAAATCTACAACGATTAACGGCGAATCGAGTTCGCGAACCAGACGATTGGATACATAATAACGAAATAGTTAAATTCTCATGTAGAACGTTTCCGTCGATTTGTCGTATTTTCAAATGCACTTTTCGGCAGAACTTTTCGGACGGTGCACTCCGATCGAGTTCGAACCGTGCTCGATGCAGTGAAAGTGCGTCAGCGAAGGATGTAATTGCTGGAAAGTGATCTTTCTTGTTTGCGATTTATAAACGGGTTCACCGGAAGTTGACCGCGATAATTAAGCAATGAAATAATCAAGGGTCATTCGAGTTACAGGGGATATTATTAATGCGTATCCATTTACCGTGTTGTATTAGATTAATAAAATTGTAGGCTCTATAACGTAATGATGGTCGTTGATGTGATTTACTACACAGACGTATCGGTACGTTACACCCTCGCTTGCGGAACTGGGTGTACGTAGGAGCATGACCGAAATGAACAAGCATATTTTAATGTTAACACGCGTACCCGACGCTGGGGCCGAACTGTTGATCCTGATTTTACAGCGTTTACAGGGCTACAATGCTTTCAAACACATACGTCTGCCACCTGGCGATCATGGTCTTTTGTCGACATTGCAAGAGGTAAATTCCTGATGCATCATACCGCCGAGTTGCATAGAATTTCATTGCGAAACTATATTTATGCTGCTGTATACGGGGTTACACGATGCATCTCAGAATCTTTTGAATCGTTAATAGACAGTAATAGACATTCCTCGAATAATTGTGGCTACGATGATTGTGGAACGATAAAGGGAGAAACATGAATCAACGCGTGATTCATTGATCGTATAAATCCTCCGGGGTATTTAATCACGGTGGTCGTTGCACTTTGCGTACACGTCAGAGTCGGTTTTCGGTGTTGCAATCGAAGTTGTACTACTTTCATCTGCCGAACTAAAGCGACAGACGGGAGAATTCCGGCTTGGAGCATATCCAGCCAGTGTATCTAACGTGCTTCCGCGTAATGTAATGAGAAAGGTAATAAATATTAAAAGATTCGACGTTTTAGAGTATGGTGATCAATCATCATGACGCTTCACACCGTCCTATTCTCGGTTATTTTAGTTTGCCATTTGGCACATTCCGCTGAAGCAAAGGTTGTTGAATCTGATTTTATATGCACGTATAAATTTGTTTCATTAAAAAGGGATTTAAATTTAATTTTTACCAAATTGTATCATAAACGTTTTTTGCCGTGAGAGTATAAGCGAAATACATATTTTATAATTGGCAAGAATTTATCAATGTTGCGTAACTGTTAATTTGCCAGACAAGTTAGTCTACTTTAGGAATGCGTTCTCCAGCCAGTTTTCCCGTAACGCAGTAGCGAAATTATATAACGCAGCCACAATTAAGTTTGTAATTATTTAGTATTTACGTTCCCGTAGCTTTTCCGTTACGCAAAATTCTGTTCGTGTTCGTTCACGATGTATGTGGATGGTATTGTTTCGCAGGAACTGTTAGTGGAAGAGATTACTAATATCATAAAACAGGAAGCGATTCCTTTAAGTTTCGACGGAAACGTTAGGTTTATAAGTTTCTCGAAATTTGGACGACAGGCTCCAACGTTTATATCTTTAGTGAGAAATCCCATGGGTGCTCAAAACTTACAGAGGTAAACAGTGTCATGGTTTTTTTCTTTTTTACAGAGTTTTGTATAAATTTTGCTAAGCAAAAAATATATTCTTTGCTACGGTGTGGTAATGGCGGATCAACAGTTATCGCGTGTACGGCGGTTACTCGTGTGCTTTCCTTTTTCAGGTATCGTGAGAAGCGAAAAACGATGCTTGAAAGTAGAGCTATACCTACGTTTTGCGGACAGGATCCTCGCTGCTCGTGAGTATGTACATATACAATGGCGAGCATGACCGTAAATGGAGAAAACGGTTGTATAATGTTTATCTCGATTCCTCCTATTTATAAGCACGTCGCTCTAAATAAGATTTATATAGAGTTATTTTTATCTCTAACTTTCTATATAAAATGAAATTTATAGAGAGATAAATAACAAATGGGCATTGCAACGGGCTAAAGCAAATATTATCGAATGGTATCCAGTCGTTGGGATTTTAGATTGCATGGAGCAGTCGATAAACTTGCTGGAACATAAATTTCCATTTTTTTTTCGCGGTGCTAGGCAAATTTACAGAAAAATTCGTAAGTAATTAGGTGAAACGGATATAATCGTATAAAGTTTACACAGTTTCAGTTTGTTACTCTCGCCTTTGTTATTTAGGACCCAAACAGAAGTACCTTTCTCAAATGTCGTTAACATTAGAACCAAGAGAAAGAGATATATTGTTCGGACTCTATGAAGATGAAATAGAATTGTATCAGTGGCTAAAATATCGACTGTTCAACGAAACATCGTACGACGTTGTAGAAAATTAATATCCGCAAAAACGAGAAGTTGCCATGCCCCATTGATATCTAGTTTAAAACTGCACCAAAGATAATTATACTAAACATATTGTGGTAATGAATTCTTTTGATAATGAATGAAAGGCTGTTTTATACTGATTGTACTGAATCGAATTCGATTATAAAATATTTTTCAAGAAAAAAATCCATGTAGATATTATTCTTCTCGCCTGCCTTAATTATAGCGTTTCAAAAATCGTGGATTTTTACTAAAACACATTTTCCGCTCCACGATGAATGTGTTTGACGGTCTAAAATGTTGCGTTACTCTGCTACTAGAGGATTTAACAATAAACAAACCTTAACTGCTCGAAAACTGTGTAAGGAATGTGTAACAAACGGTTGCTGAGGGAACAAAACATAAAGGTTTTCAAATGAACGTCCACTGTGCCGCCACAGGTATTCCATGATTTGAAACTGTGCCGCCACAAAAGTGGCGTACGTGGCGCCATCTTTAGAGAGTGGTTAATCCTCCGGCGGGCGCGTCCGTTAGTTTCGCGGCTCAATCTTTTGTCAAAAACTCTTTTTCCTGTGATCAGATCGACTTCAGACCTTTTTCTATTCCTTATTTGAAAGTTTTTCTATCTATTTGACCCAAAAGTTAAAATTTCATAATATCAACGCCGCATGTACGGAATACGAAAAAAGGCGCGCTTGCCGGAGGGTTAACGCAGTGTTATTAGACCGGTGCTCGGAGGAAACTGTTCAAATATTTAACTAATGCACAGCCACGTGTACACGAGCTTCGGGGATTTGAGAAAGAAGGCAAACGTGAGTCAACTGCCATACGATTTCGAGTCTCGACTGCCTACCACATCATAAACAAGGTACAAAATAAACCTATCGTTTAATGGGACTTCGTGATTGATGAATTGGTATATAAATTCGCAAAATATTAGTGGTTTTAGCACACACGGTAGCGTGTAACATTTCAAGCGTGTTAGTTTTATTAATAGTAAGTGGTGATTGAATTTATTATTCACTTCTAAGTAAATGTATTTATAGAATAAATATGGAAAACATACAAAGAAACATTTAAGAACACAAGTTACCGATCTCTTCTTTTACATTACCCTTTTTTTTTTTCACTGGTAACCAAGAGCAACAGAAGCAGGATATTGTATTACAAAGCCACTATTATTTATTTACACCTAATAACTTTGAAACATAACTTTTTATCATTCCGTTTCGTTATGTAACACGAAACAAATGCTGTGATTATTCCAACGATAGTTGCCAACATCGATACGATAGAAAACTGCGATAAATTATTCAAGTCGCGGGAAGAAAGGATCTCCTTGATTCTATGGTGTAATAAAGCATGTAAAAATAGTTACTCGGGTATCAAGTGTTGCTATAAAACTGTTGCTATCGTGATCGACAGTGGCACGTATCGTTCGGTGATAATGTAAAAAAAAAAATCACGTCAAGGGATATTGGTAAGCGATTTTGGTCGTTTCATACGTGTGTCACGTGTGCAACAAAACATGAGGATCATGTTGATGTACAAATGAACGAGCAACAACATGAGCAACGCGTGCCATCACTTTTTCTTCGCGTCTTTTAGTCCAGCGCCAGCGTTAAACTTGAAAAAGATGATATCCCCGTCTTCGACAACGTAGTTACGCCCCTGTTGTCTATACTTTCCAGCAGCCTGTCGAATGAAAAGGCAAAAGTAACAATCATATAAAAAAATTAACAGAGCATCGATATTACTGTAACTATCACCTTCACTGCCGCTTCCGATCCTTCGTTTTTAAAGTCGTCGTACTTCATGACTTCGGCCATAATGAATCCTTTCTCGAAGTCCGTGTGAATCTTTCCAGCAGCTTGGGGTGCTTTCGTACCTTTCTGAAATATCATCAAACATACGAATAAACACACGAGGAAATTTTTTATTTATTTTCTTTTTGAATTTTGGTCTTTGGCTGTTGTTTTCATGTATTATGTAATGTTATTTTTCTGCCTATGACGTTCGTTTTTATTTACCTGAATCGTCCATGCTTTGACTTCATCGTGCCCTGCCGTGAAGAAGTATTGCAACTGCAGTGCTTTGTATCCTTGAATGATGATCTTGTCGAGTGCGCTGAAAGCGAGACCGTGCGTTATTTGTAATCATAATTAAACTAAAAATTCAGTTGTAATCAATTTGCAGGCGCCTATCACCGAGTTTCCTTGTTGCTTGATAATCGTGCAAGATGCAAATTAAACGAGCTTCCCGGTTAATGACGATGTACACAGACCATGCCCCACGAGATAGAAAAATAAATTGGTCGCGAGTTCTTTAGTACGGTGTATTAGAAACGAAAAGAAAAAGGTGGATTCTCGGTTGAAAAAAAAGGGGTGGTCGGAAACAGGACTGCGGAATATGATTGTCTCGAACCGAATATCGTCTAATGACAGGGTACACGAAGGGAAGCCATCCTGTTCCGTGGATCCTGACGGACTTCGGGACTTCAGAGAATACACATAAAGCTGAACGACTTAATACCACAATTTTATCACTCTGACTCTGTCCGAGACCAGGTTCGACGTCTAAGTTATCTGCGGTCACGAAATAAAATCGCGGTATCTAGAGATCTTTCGTTTGTCCCCTGTGATTACCGAGCGAGCCAATCTTATGCGATCGTTTCGAGGGATCGAGAGAGTTTACCGAAGAATTTCGATCTCTAACCATTCGCCTGAGATCATGGACGTTATTGGTGTGCGCGATTTAATATTTCCTACGTCGTTTCCGATCGAACGGTACCCCAAACGGGTGCTTTCGCTTTTAAACAATCGTCGCTACGTAGATTCGGACTTACAGACGACGCAGATATTTAAAACGAGCATAAACTCGAGCGAGCTCGCTGTACGCAGGATAAATTGGTCTTGTTCACGAATGACCTACTAGCCAACTGAACCGGTTGGTCCTCGTTTCCACTCATCCCCTAGTTATACCGGTGTGCCCGGAAGGGCAGGAGGGGTTTTTATGCAATTTTACAAGAATTTGAATAGCCGTCCGTAAAAATATAATGCGCCACGCCAAAGATGCCGCAGTTTTTATTGGTCGTCCTACATGAGAGTGGGTCGAGTCTAGACGCTTGGACTGAGAACCCTTCATTATTATTACCGTTAGTAGATAACTCGGTGAATAGTTAAATGTGGGAACCTGACTTTCGTAGGGCTGGCGTCACGAATTTTACGAACGATCGTTTACCTTCCTTGCAACTTTTTACGGCTAGTATTCCGTAATTGGATACGATTCGAATCTCTCAAATTATGCTATTCTAGCTCCTATTTTAGGACGCCAAATTCACGCTGTGCCGTGTAATCTGGTATAAACAGTTCTTCTAAGTAATCTGGTTCGTACAGTCTTCCATAGTTACAATATATTAATCGTTGTGTACACGTGATTGTGTAATACAAATTTAAACAGACAATTTGCTATTTATGGACACAGCGTTATAATTAAAAAATCTTGCACGTGGTTCTAATTTGATCGCCAGTAACCGTACGTTACGAATTATGAACAGTACCTCGTAGCTTTCTGTTCTTCCAAATATTTAGACCGTTCGGCTTCGTTCATGTCGACGAGCTTGTTCTCGAAAGCGCCGCTAAAAGGGATCAAAACAGCTCCGGGGTCGTTCTTATCGACCCATTCCTTTATTTTGATTAACCTGGATATCACACCGAAACACAGAATTAGATTTAAAACGCCGAACAATGTTAAACATTCTAAAAAGATTATACGAATACGATATAAGTACATTAAAAGAATTAGAATATTTAAAATATTAATTTCCCGCGCGTACATACCATTTGTTCTTTTTACGTATATAATCCTTTTCAGAGAGATTAACTAAGTAAATAACGGGCTTCGACGTGAGGAACAAATATTTGTTGAGAACTTCGATCTGCAACAAGCATCACGCTTTACAGCTGATTCTCAAAACACGAACAAATCTATGAACACGAGCATAGTAAACTTACGTCGGTGGCACTCCAATCGGCGAACCGGATGTGCCTTTTTTCGTCCACCATTACGCCTCTCACTTTCAACAGCGTGTCCTATGCAGAAAGAAACTTTTATGCACTTACGTTGCAACGTCGGTGAATTTCGTTCTTTCACCCCCTCCCCTCCTCCCCCAAACATTCCCAATATGCAAATTTACTTTACTACCAATCAGAAGAAACCAACGTTCCGTTTAGTATTTAACCGCACGAGTACGCGCCGTTGAGTGGAATGATTCCGTGATCGTACCGTGATTAGAGGACTGTGCACACTCGCGAAACGTCGCTCCATTAGTTTAGCCGAGAGGACGAAGAGCCAACTTCGAACTCTCGAAAAGTTTTAGCAAATTGCAAAGTCTAGAACGAGGGAGAGATCGGAAATTGCCGTGGGTCAATCCACGGAAAGAGGGTAACTCGATTGATTCGTTCTAGGAACCAATGTACCGCTCTCTTTCCCTCTTCCTCCCAATTTTCTCGGTGATTTCGTCCAGGTTACGTAATATGCTCGCATTTACAACAGTTTCCCTCGCGCCTCGAGGAAAATAGTACAACCAAACGAACCCACTTGGCTCGATTCAATAAATGCTGATCAAACGTTCTTAGCCAAGATCGATTTTTGCCAAACACGATCTATTTTCAACGATATACACTGCATTCGCGAAATTGATCACTACGTAACATCGTTTTGAGTTTTCCTAGAATATAGTTTTCTTTTTCAAAGCAAAGTAACTCCACAGGTGCAGAAATTTTTTTTTCCATCGAAAATTTCACACCTCGAATTTTTTTCTAGAAAGTGGGTAGGATTTCGGGGGTATATCTATTCACCAAAAATGATTATAATTGACCCCCGTAACTTAACATAATTTTTTCCAGAACGATTTGAAATTTTTTTTCGTCGAATTTAGGCAGCTAATTAGATTTTCGGTAAGGAATTTTTTTATCGAAAATGCATAGGATTTCAGTGATATGTGTAATGACCAAAAATGATTATAATTGACCCACGCAACATGAAATAATTTTTCCAGAACGATTTGAAATATTTTTTTCCGTCGAAAAATTTAGGCAGCTAATTAGATTTTAGGTAAGGAATTTTTTTCTCGAAAATGCGTAGGATTTGGGGGATATGTGTAATGACCAAAAATGATTATAATTGACCCACGCAACATGAAATAATTTTTCCAGAACGATTTGAAATTTTTTTTTTCCGTCGAAAAATGTAGGCAGCTAATTAGATTTTAGGTAAGGAATTTTTTTCTCGAAAATGCGTAGGATTTGGGGGATATGTGTAATGACCAAAAATGATTGTAATCGACCCCCGCAATCGAAAATAATTTTTTCCAAAACGATTTGAAATTTGTTATCTCCGTCGAAAAATTTCACACCTCAAATTTTTTTCTAGAAAGTGGGTAGGATTTCGGGGGTATGTCTAATCACCAAAAATAATTATGTTTGACCCCCGCAACCGAAAATAATTTTTCCAGAACGATTTGAAATTTTTTAATTTAATTGTTAATAACTTTTTAACGAAGCCTCAGTCAAGAAATTGATATTCTTGATTTTCGTCTTATTTTGGCCTCTAGAATCTCCCATTAAAATTTTTTCCAGGGTTGTCCGAACACCCTGTACAATAGTGAATCAATGACATTTTTATCTGAAGTAAAACCCATGGGTACCTGCAAAAAGGTATTAGACAACTTTTCTATGGAGCGTCAAACAGAATTATTAAAAATCAAAAACGAATTTTTAAGAAAAATCAACAGAGGTACTTAAATTTTTCGACAAAAAAAAAAAATATCAAATCGTTCTAAAAAAATTATTTTTGTCTAGGGAGGTAAATTACAATCATTTTTGGTGAATAGACATACCCTCGAATTCCTACGCACTTTCGAGAAAAAAATTCTTTACCGAAAATATGATGTATGGCCAGAAATGTTTCTGTAATTTCATTTTCTGTGATCATTTTCTGCCGAAAAAATACATTGGATGTAAGATCTACTCGTATACCACGTCTGTGATTATATTCCCCGTTTTTATCATTTTATATGTAAGTATAGTTCAACTATCCGTCATATTTGATTTTCCAGTATTGCCTCAGTTCCGAGTATGTTTAATGTATATTTTACTGTACTTCGAATCTGGTTAGTAGCAACTGTAATTTTTGATAGTGTGAAGTGTAAAATTTTCGTTATGGCGTAATTGTCTATAATGAGATTTTTTAGGAATCTTTTCGATCATTCCATGCATCGTTCGCAAGTGACGGCATCGATGCTTCGCATTCGAGAATTCAGTCGCAATTACAAGTGCATGCTTTCATACGATGCACGATAATGGAGGGCAGATCGTGAGGATCGCGATGGATCACAATCGCGTTGCGAGAGTATTGCATTTGAAATACAAAACTATTACTTACATATTCCGGCTTGAGTTTTTTATCGTTTCCGCGAACGACGAGCTTTTCCAATTTCTCGAGATGCACGTTCAAGAACTCGATGTCCTTCAGCCGCAGTTCCTCGCTGATGATCTCGAGATCCCTCACGGGATTCACGTCTCCCTCTATGTGGGTTACGTCGTCGTCGTCGAACGCTCCTGCAGCCGGTTGAAAAACAGTGTATTAACTAGCGTTTTAAAGATACGATCGATGAGAATCGGCGCGGTTCCGGGAAAACGGTTAACGAAAGCAATAAACGCGCGCCCCTGGTGCTAGCAAACTAACGCGTGCGTGTTGTAGAGATAAGTAGGTATTCGTAATTGCTCGTGCAGTACACGGAAGAAGTAAACATAGCGACAAACTAATCTTTCGATCTCATCGACGGGCAACGTTACCCCTTAAAGTAATTGATTTTTATCAGTGGTCGTTTGTCCCGAACAATAACGTTTATACGCGCGAGAGATAAGCGACTGTTTACCCATCGGGAAAACTACAGACGCGTGCATCGAAACTACTTACGACAGAGATGGAAAATGCCGTCGCAAGCGTTGATGTGCGAGAGGAAACTGTTTCCCAATCCTTGTCCCTCGGCGGCGCCTTTAACCAGCCCGGCGATGTCCACCACGTTCAAGAAGGCTGGAACTTTGCTGGAAACACGCGGAAAGGAAACGTTTCGCGTTACGAATCGTTCGTACGGGCGCGAAAGAAGGAATCGTTTATGTACACGTAATCCTTGCATTCGCAGTGCACGCGTCTAGAATCGAGACGAGGGTGTCGCAGCGACAACGAGCTGTATTTAAATGCTAATGCGAGTAGCCTCATTAAACAATTAGCCTTTGAAGAGAAGCACGTTGGTGAAATGAACAAGAAGAAGGGGAACGCCGCGTTAGGTGGCTTTCATTAGGCATTGTTGAATCATCCGACACGTGCCGGTAGTCGGACCGTGCAATGTCGTTGGCACGAGTGTTCCGGAGCGTTGGGTCGTGGGAGGCCAGAACGAACAGAGATGCTCTTTGATCTACCGTCGTTTCGCATTTTAATCCCTCGGAATTACCGGAATTGTCAACGAGCACGCGTCCCAGAGTAAACTAAACTCCTATCAGACCTCCATTTTATAATTATTCCCCGTTTATTTCGTTCTTTTGTTGCTCGTTGCGAGCGTCGAAGACTATTTTTTTCCCCTCGATCGAACGTATACGCGCTTTGGCTTTTCGACCCTCCGGTGACTCTGCTGCTTTGTACGTTCAATCTCTTCGTGTCAACGAGCCAGCGTGATGACGCGCGACACGGTAAACATGACTTTCATCGATAGTTACCCGCGCTGACGTACACCGCAGCACGCATACCGGTTTCCACGCGTTTCAATGAAACATCCATTATCCCACTTGACTAGCTTAGAATACGCGTTCGGGACTCCGATTAATTGCATCCCACGGCACGCATAGCCGCAAACTTTTGTCTTAACGCGAAAGAATTAAATCCATTTAAAGGGGGCAACCACTGTAACGGCTGGAAATAAAAGCAATTTTCAAGAATTTTTTGGGCCTAATGTTGAAACTCTTTCTAATAAATATTTAATGGTTTCGAAAGAACATTTCTCGAACTACTTTTCGTAAAAATTTCGTATGAAAATATTAATTATAATAGACATAATAGGAAACGGCGCAAGAGGCCTCCAAAAATTTGTTGGAAACGGGCGAACGTGTAATTTTTCACTGTAAATTCTAAAACAAGAAATCATGCAATTTTCTTAAACTATAAGACGGTAGTATTAGTTGCACGTAGGGATTTATTATAAAATGATGGAACTTTGACTCAAGACTTGCCTCTAAAAATAAATAACCGTCGATAGTTTATTTCGCAAAATTTATTTTCAACTGGAAGAAGGTCGTCCACGCTTATGTTTTCACGCGATTTTCTCTATGTAATTCCGGATGGGGAAAATAAAATAGCGACTATGAAATACTGTCTTAAAGGGACATTGCAAAGCAAGCGAAGAAAAGGGATATGTAAAGTCGGTCGACGGTTCAACATGGACTCCGTGTCGCGTAGACGAATTTAGATCAATCTGCATTGCAGATCACGTACCGTTTCCTCCCTGCCTTGTCCCTAGCTCGCGAAAATAAAAGCGAAGAAGTATGGAAATGCCAATGGTTATTCCAACTCGTTTCCCCGTCGCGAGGGTGCATTTCCAGATAGACGCGTTGCTTTCTTTCGGTAATACGGTAACGCGTTCCAGCCGTTTATTTATCGTTGCTACGGAACAATATTTACTACTCACCTAGCCGGTTTGAAATATTCGCACAGATAATCGAACCTTGCGTCGGGTACGGGCACGCGACGTGCTGGAAAACAAGAAGAACAGTTAGACTTTGGGCCGAGATAAATATTGCAATTAAGTTTTTCAATAATTATAGATTCATCGATTACGTAAACGTTCGTTTATTAGATCGAGATACAAGTCTTGTCACATTTTAAATATCATTCAATTATCCGACTCGTCGTCGCTCGGATCCTGGAAAGTTTGCGTCGGCGATGTCCGTCGGAACGTAATAAAAACCGACTGATGAGGATAGACGCTGCCCAACATGGACAAGTGTTTACTGATTCTATGCGATCTGTCGTCGCTGCAATCCAGATGTACAGGAACTTTTAAGAAAGGGTTGCGTTTCTTCTTTATGGCGCGAGTCGCTACTTTTATAATCTTATCGCGCTTGAAAATTTTACTGCGAGCCGTCTCGTAGATCTCGATTTCTTTCAAGGCACAGGAGACGTTTCGAGTTTTCAAGTACACGCCAATGTAAATTGCAGCGGTAACGGAGGGCGTCAAGCCCGGCAGTTTCGGACGAATTACGCTGACCTGATTTACGGCTTCGACTATTACCTTCGCGACCGTTTGCTCCAAGAAACCGAGCTGAGGTAAATGTTTCACGTCGATCGCCGGTAGCGTGTACAGAAATTTAACATCGACGTTCGCGTATTCCTCGCAACGCTCTAGAAATTTGTCGCGACATTCCACCGTGCAAAACAGGTACGCCTTGTCCTTATACAAAACGCCTATGCTCGGTTTTCCAGATACGAGTTTACGATTCGGTAGATTCTCGACGTAGGTGACCAAACAGAAGCCTTTGATTCGCAGACGCGTAGCCCAACAGGGGTGTTGCACGTCGACCGTTTCCGTCAAAATACGAGGACGATCTTCCGGCAATTGTGCCGTATTTATCGGTGGAAGATGCTTTTGTGGATCTCGAACGAAATCGTTCGTGTGTTGAGGACAGATCCAATAGAAATGTTCCCTGAATTGAACCATTCCTCGATGATCCGGCGGAGGTCCCGACGTCTTCATAATATTCTTATAAAACAAACAGAGAGGACAGTACGATTCGAATCGACTTTGTCGTTGTTTAAACTCGTAGGGCGAAACGTTCATAAACGTTAAATCGTGACATTTGTCGTAATCGCTTTCGCGAAAATACAATCTGATGCGTTCGTATCTCGAACACACCTCTCGATCGGCTCGCGTCCATATATGCCACATACTTTTGGTGGCGTCGACTTCGATCACGTTCTGCGTGAATTTCTTCAACCAGTCGCGATATTTCTCTTGGTCGACGTTCCAGTTTGCGTAACGATGCGCCAAAAATGTGTCAGAAAAATTTAGTTTTAGCGGTCTCTCCGTCTCGTCGGTGTCCCGCGACGAACAGTTCAAACAAAACGCCAGATGCGCTTTGAGATCGAGCACGATCGTCGGTTGACTGCCACGGAACGTTAGTTCTTCGTACTCTTTGCGATTCGCGGGAAAACCGTCCAGCACGAAACCCTGGGAGGTCGATCGAGGATCGATGGAATACGTTTCGACGGCGCTGGCCAACGATTCTTCAGGAGCAAGGTGACCCTGTCGAAGACGAGATTCCGCCAGTTCCGTCGACTCCGTCCAGGGTAAATGTTTCAAAACGTGGCGCAGAGCCGCGCCTCTGGTTACCACCTTGGTGCCGTATTTTTTTGCGAATCGATTCGCCAGCGTCGTTTTTCCACACTTCGGCGGGCCGATGATGGAAAGTCGAAACGGGACGACTGGCGAGCAAGAATCCTGTTCGAGGTATTTGAACGGATTCTTCAAAAATCTGGAACGAGCGTCTTTGCCGCCGAGGAAGTAAACGAATTGACGATGTATCACCGGATAAATCTCTTGCTGGGCCTCTGACGGCAGAAACATCTGCAGAGGAATTTTATTTTCGTGCAACTGCACCGGACACCAGCGTCCAAACGAACTTTGAAGACAGTAACCGCAGTCGAGGAGCATTCCGGCTGTCTCCAGATCAACCGTGTACGTTTTCTCTAGAACAGAAATATCTCGATTAGCGTAAGGCGTGAGAATCTTCATAGCTTGTAAAAGAACCTCTTTCGAACTCCGTTCCCCATCGAGCACCACGTACGGTATCGTTTCGTTCACCAACGCGTTCCGCGTAGCGTCGATCATTTCGATATCGTTGTCGAACATTTCTTCGAACTCCCGCTCGATTCTTTGCTTCGCGGTCTCGAAATTCTCCCAATCGGTGAAAAGTACAGGTTCAGGATTCTCTTCACGCCAAGCTTCTTCGAGTTCGAGCCGCTTGCTCTCTATTATTTCTGGATCGATATCGACGTCGAGCGTACGTTCTTCCTCGTCTTCTTCCGAAGATAAAAATTCCTCGCCTTGTTCCATACGGAAGTCGTCGATCGTTTCCTTCAGTATCTTCTCGATCCATGTTTCTTTATCCTTCTCGTAACGATCGAGTTCCTCTACGTAGCGCAAATACTCGACACGTTTTTTCTTTTCCAGCGTTTCCTGCCAGGACTCGAGTAATTCGGGCATTACCCTTTCGTACGCTTTGTCTTTACCGCAACGGAGTTGTATTATTATCTCGGGTACAGCGTAGGTTTTCAGCGCAGTCTCTACGTCCTCCGGACAACTGGGGAATTGCTCGAACACGATACCGTGTAAATTATAAAGTCCTTCGAAAAATCTCAATAAACACTCGCGAATCATTGGTTTGGGAAGAACACCTCCTGTTCTCCAGTAGCGTCGAACGAAGGTTTGCACCGTGGCGGCGTCGGTGATATATTTTATATCGTTTAAATCTTCTGGCAATTCTACCTCTTCCGAGAGATCCTCGAGTGAAATCAGAACCGCTCTGCGACTGAGTGGCAACATTGCTCGGTCCTTCGTGTACGCGGTGAAACAGTTGAAGTAATCGACGCGAACCAAGCCATATTCTCGAGATATCGCATCGGCTAACGTACTCTTTCCGCTTCCTGGTGGACCAACGATGCTGACGCGAAGTGGTGGAATAGTAGACAAAGGTTTCTGAAAAGGAAGAGACAACGACTGTGGACTGCGTAGGAATTCCTCGAGAGCGGTAGCGCTGGAGAGAAAATAAATTTTATTCATAAAGATGGCCGCGAAGTCTTCTTTACCTTTCCAGAAAGTATTATACTTTAACAGGGCTACGGGACAATAGTAATTAGTGTCACCAAACCGACGACTGTCCTCTTTAACGTCCAAGTCCATGGTTCGTCCTTCGTCTTCCGGTTCATCCTGTTCCCCTACGATTTCTGTATTGTCAGTCATAGCTGTGAACTCTGCAATGTCTTTTTCTCTTTCCTTTTCTTCGTCGCTCATAATCCTAGCTTTATCCCTGTAACGATCTTTAATATTTTCGATCACGTACTTGGAGACATTATCGATTTTGCTGAGGTTACAAGTAACCAAATTTTTGCAAGCATTCGCCACGGTTTCCTTCATTTCCTCCCACTCCAGTTCAAACTGTTGAATGTGTCGTATATATTCTGCCAGTCCTTGAGTTTCTTCTTCCTCCCCTTCGTTGTCTTCGTTCATATTTATACTATTTTCCATGTATTCCGTACCTTCCTCCAGCTCCTCGTGCGATTTCTGTTCGACGTCGTGAATGCTGCGCCATTTGGACAACAAATATTCGTACGGCTCCTCGTCGAACAAGAGAATCGCATCTTCGAACACGATCTTTTGATCCTCGACGATCATTTTCCAGTTATCGATGTCAAGGCACATGCCATCCACGATGTAACCACCGTCTCTCCATACATTTACATCTATCTCCTCTTTCGATATATCTTGTATATTTTTTATAATCGCATTGGTATCCTCTTCTATGTTGCCACAAATGGACGAACCAAAGAGACTGCACGAATTAACGTCATCCTCGTGCGCGCTTATTATCGTGCCACCAAAGATCCGCGTTAACGTTTTACATAAATCGGATTTACCGGAATACTTGGGCCCGAACACAACGATTTTACACGTCGGTCGAGGCAAAAACGGAACTAAAAAGGTTCTCGGATTCTCGATAAACAGTTCAGTCGCCTCCAACGACGACAGAAAGAAAATATAGTTCATGAATCTTACAGCGTATTTCGACAACCCTTCCACGGTCCTTCCTCTGGTTAATTCGACCGGGCAAAGAAAGTTCCAAGGCGACAATCCCCAAGGATATACAGGGGAAACGGTTTCTCTGTTCGTTAGATACTGAAACGCTTCTTCGTTCGATTTACCTTCGAATTCGTTCATTGGATCGGACGTCGCTGGCGATTCGCCGCTGTACTTAAACGCGACAGGATCCATCAATCTCTTTGGGATAATCACTCCTGTAACCGGCAACGTGCACAAACGTGCAATCGTGATTTGAAACATTCGCAATATCGACACGCGACCATCGACGCGTATTACGTTTTGCGGATTATGCAACAGAATCCATTTCTCGATGGCGGGTATCGCGAAGCGTTTGTACAATTTGCATTGCGACTCGACGTTCGATTTCCGGTCGGCGAGTCGTTTTAACAAATACTTGCTTTGGTGTTCGTCCAAAATACGCTCCTTGTTCATCAGTTCCCGGTAAAATTCGAAAGAAACGTTCCTATCGTCGGTGAACGACATATCGATAATTCTGCTCATCCCCGCGTGGCTGGTGTCTACGACGCGACCAGTTGCTGCGTTTATGCGAAAATGTTCACGCTTCCTCGTCGCGTCCTTATCCGGACATATCGCGTAGACGATGATCGATGGCTTTACAGGCCACGTTGTGAATATTTCTTCGACCTGATTGAAAATAACACTCTCGTAATCGGGTTTAACCGTGCACGTCGTATTCTTGATTCGTTCATCGGACGAAATTTTAATTTGTTGGCTTTCTTCAAGATCGATCGTTGCGCCGCATATTCTTTCGAACGACGACCCGAAAAATTTCGCGTAATTCTGAGCGAAATTTCGATCGTTCGAGTCTCTGTCCGGGTTACTTGTATAGGATGAATAGTCCAGTATCTCGTTTGGAATCAGCGGCAAACCTTCCACAACGTAACCTCTGTGAAGCACGTCCCTTTTATTGATCCTGTTCTCTATCAAGTTCATGATGATATCTGGGCCCAAGCATTCGCCTGTCTTTAAAATGTCCGCGATAATTTTACCTTTCTCGGTCCCTTGCTCGATCTCCTGTTTCACGAGTTGCGATTGAGATATTAAAACGCAATTCCAAGCGTCGGCGATCATAGCCGCGAGCTCGATGGTGTTTAGATCCGGTTTTCCAAAAATGGCGAAACACGTTGGTTTGCTTTCGAGGTATTTTTGCTTCGCAGAGGTCTCGCAAAAGGGATCGCGAGACGCGTACGGTTGTTCGTTAGATTCAAAATGGGGTTGGACGTTCCTATACTGTCTCGATTGGCACTTTGCGGTGAATCTGTCGAACGGATTTGCATCTTCGTGGAAAGCATAGTAAGCGTTTGCTTTCGGGTACACGCAGCCATGAGGTTTCGCCCGCGTAGGAACGTACTCTTTGCGAGGATATCCCTTGATGAAAGGAAAGAAACTCTTTTTTATGATGAACGAGGCGCTCGCGTAAAACTTGCCGCCATCGTCCTTTCGTCTGCCGCGCCTTTCGCGGCTCGAGGTTCCGTCGCACATCGCTGAATATTAATAAAAAGCTTATTTCGAGGTTCGCTGTAACCTGTCTTGGTAGAATTGCAAACAAATGACAATTAATAGTAAACAGGTTAATAGTTCGTAACGATGTTTCTCGAACTCGTGTAAAAGTAAATTGACTGGAATACACGAAACGGTGATAGATTTACTGTATTTTTTAAGTGAATTGAATGAAATTAAATACGCTATTTATAGGGCAAAGGCAAGAGAAAAATGGTTAGAAATAAACAAAATTGCGTAATGAATGTAGATACTTATTTTCATTGGGATCGATGGTGCAGAATGGGAAATTTTCAGCAGCTGCCTGGCTTTTGGTGAGAACGTTGAAGAAAGTTGATTTCCCTACGTTCGGTATGCCTACTATTCCAACTTTTAAATTGGTACCCACACGGCCGATAAGTGGTTTCCTTTCAGGCTCCTCAACTTTCTTTGGCGCCATTCTAGGGAAGAACATAGATCCATTATTATCGAACCTGCTCTAATCAGGTTTTATTATCGCGTCGCGGTTTTAAAAGTATTAAATTATCGCTGTCGGTTAAAAACTAGTTCTGGTACACGCGTTTGTTGTTATCGATAGGCGATTGACTCAGGGATGGGGAACCTTTTGGCACTGGATTATTACAAATCAATCTTTTTCTTTATTTTTAGTCCACGTTTCCTTTTTTTACGTTTGTTACAATCGATTGAAATGTACGATTTATGAAAAGTAGACGATACGCGATTGATAAAACGTGCCAATAGGCCGCATCGAACAGCTTGAAAGGCTGCGGGTTCCTCATCCCTGATCGAGCTCCTCACGGCATCGCCGGTACACGGTGTTCCACGGCGCTGATCTCTCTTTGTCCGCAGCCTGCAAACTGACGCGCAGCATGCAAAAACGAATGGGAGGGGGATATCAGTTTGCATGGATAGAAATGAAAATGACCCAACATGGATCGACCACGCCCTTGTTCCTCCAACCCTCGGAATCTTTAAGAGTCCCAGCATGGTTTGCGTGTACGTGTAATGCCCCCGGCCTCGTGATGGTTGAAACAGAACCAAGCCGAGTCGGCTTCTCGAGCATCGGGTCGCTTTCGAGCGCTAGGGGTGACTAATTATATTAATGCGGACGGCACATCAAGCGATTGCTGTATTTACCGCGAGATTGCCCCCCTTCTTGCTTCTCGTCCACCAATGTACAACGGCCCGCGCCATATCAAAGGACGAAGCAGGTACGAGACGCCCGCGGGAGGCGCAGGGAGAGCGGGAGAGGTGGAGGGGAGCTGACCGAAGGAAAGTGCGGAGAAGCGAATTCGAGAGAGAAGAGGGCCGAGGTGGATTCACCGAGCAAAGATGCGAGGGAGGAGGAATACGCTGGGGCGAGGGGTCCGACGATTACTGGGCACCAAAGCCGCGAATCACCGGCATCACGCCGGGAATCTGCAACCGCGCCCCAGGCCGCCAATCCGCCACCGACTTCGCGGTTCTTCTTCGTCCCCTTTCTTCTCGTTCAGCTCCTTCAATCGTTCCCTCCCTTTTTCCGTTCCTTTTCTTAACCATCGCCCAGGCCTTCCTCTCTTTCCTTCATTCCGAGCTATCTAAGTCTTCGGGACGGTTTAACGCGAAACTGCCGGCACCTCTCGTCATTCTTCATCGCGGTCCCCAGGAAATTTGAAAATTACGATAATGGAGGAGAAGAGGAGAGAGACCCGTCCGCGATGCTACTCGAGACTCGGTCGAGAGTCGCTTTGACGCCGCGGCATCAACCCCCCCCTCCTCCCAAAACCCTTCGCGGAACCTGATTCGCTGCCGCGGTTCGCGTTCTGCGAATCGATCGCTCGTGTTCGATACCGTTTATGCGAGACTATACGCTCGAGAGCAATCGAACCGCCGATTAAGTATTTACATAAAAAATCGAGCGCAAGTTTATAAGGTTTGAACGATCTGCGTATCATTAGTGCGAGCACAGGCCGTCGAGGACGCTTCGGGTTACGGCCGCGTTGCACAGTGCTGCCTCGTAACACTCGGTTCTCGAAACACGCGTAGCTGCACACTGAAACTTAACCTCACTTTTTCGAAGAATCAAAGCTGCTCGGGGATTGCTAACATTAACAATTACGCGTTTTTTATTCGTCGATGTTGTCGCAACGGGCGCAAGCTCGTATGTACGCTCTGTGTATACTCTCGTAACATCGCGACTGGCGTCGTACAATATTTGCATGCATCTACGTTACCTGCCTTCTATGAAAATCACAGTAACATCTATGACAATCGAATAGTACTCACTCGCTACACAAATATATCGATGACTGAAGTTTGTTTAAATACCTTTTATATCGTTGATACTTTGACGAAGTAAATATCACTGTACAATGCGTGGCACGGAAAAGAACACAGCACCACAGTGACGTCACGCGTTCGACCGGCCTCCGGCTTGGAAACAGACAGCTACTTTACCGTCGGAGAAACCGTGTCGCGTTTAAATTCATTGAAAAAAACAGCCGATAGAGGAACAAAGTGACAACGGCATGATGTAACCTAAACTATGTATAAAATCAATAAATACTTGGACGCGTTTCAAAATTAATGTTTCGTTTTGGTTATTTCGTTTCGGTGTTTCGGTACACGTAGCTCTATAATCTCCGTAAAACGAGGCTCCGGTTGATTCCAATGATTGCGTCCCGGCGAAGTCGTCCGTCCGCAGGCAAGTTCATCGTAATTCTAGGAATAGCTTTACAAAATGAAATGCCACCTTTAATCTCTCATAGGAAAAGGGGTCATTAAAGAGGGTTGATTGCAACGCTTTCGTGGAAATCATAAACACGCACATTGCTTTCGAACTTTGAAACCCTTCTAGAAAAAAACCACGCTTCTGATTGAATCGTGCCGCTGCACAGTGGGGTACTGCGCCCAAAATCCGAACATAACCAATATTCAAACTCCCATAACTTTGTTAATTTTGATCCAACTTTGATAAAAAAAAATAGACATTTTAAAGTTAGAACTCCCGATTTTTTGATTCGTTAAATCGGTCAAATACGTATGTACAAACTGTAAATGTTTTCTCGTATCAATCGTGTGAAATTGATACAATAAACAATTTCTGTAATTTTTACATACACGGTTTGATCGTCTTCTTCATTTTAATTAATTCGTCAAATATTTTTCTATGGATTTTAGATTTAGTACCAAAGAAGTTATTTAAAAAGAATAAAAAGAAGATTTGAAAAAAGACTTTGACTTTCTCTGCACGATTATTTGAGTTCCAACTCGGCGGTATGCGCGTGTGATGGGAACGCACATCGTGGATCACCGGAGGGCCATAATTCGAAGGATAATATTAAAATTGCCGTAGAATGGAATAAAAAAAGAACAATCACGCGTGTGTGCCCTGATGTCTGCCTTGGTGGCGCCGTGAGATCAGAGCAGGAAAGGGCGCGGCGATCGTTGACGATGACTTCGCATCCGAATCAGAAACTAACCTCATTTTTTTCATTGGGAGGCTGATTCCTGTACAAACCATTGTACCTTCTTTCGTTTACGTCACAGACATATTTGAAATTACATAAATCGATAGGTAAGGTAATAACATCCCCCTAAGATTCTCTGGTTCACGTTTAAAAATTACTATTAATTTGTTCTGAAAGTTTATGCGCACGAAGTAAAAAATATTTTAGGTTACGGTATCAAATACAACTTTGAGTATCAAGAAATGACATAGAATCGACGAATTTTTTTAATAAAATTGTTGCGTTCGTATTGCAAATTCCAATTGGAACCGGTAGGTTGCAATATTTACAAACAAAAAACTGGTAACATTTTCGACTGTTCGGAGGATGGTGGCCGCTAACGCGATATCCCGTTAACTGCGGTTTCGTTTGGGCAATAGATTTCTAACGTGAAGTCGTCCTTGTGGCGTATGATTATTTCAATTATTTTATTACGAACCGTATTAATTCCGACCCATATAATGCATATAATCAACAGGCTATTATTCCATAAGCGCACGGCCGGCGGAAAGGACCTTTCCTCTGCCTCTCTCTCCGGTTCGTAGTCCATACCATCCGAACTTGGTCGTTTTCGTGATATTGTAATTTGGAGACCGCAAATTCGTCGACGTCGCTGGTGTACTAGAGCATCTTGCCAGCGCAGCCATACGGTCGTATCCTCTTTCCCTTTAGCGTTCTTATTGGCCGACAATTTCGATGAAAAGCATATTAACCTTCGTCGAATTATAGGAATTTTGCCAGATTAGATGCGCGTTGAATTGAAGGATTGCGTTACTAATTTCAAGCAAACCACCGACACTCCGTTCGTTTCCAGCGGGATTTACAGTGACTGTCACTTAAAATCGTACACCTAGCGGTTCAGCCGATATTATTTCAATAAAACATGAAAATTGTACTAAATTATTGAAACTCGTATAGAGGCATATAGTGTAATGTTTCTTTATTTGATACATAACAACAATACAAAAAAACCTTTAGTAGTACCCGGTAAATTAAATAAAATTTGAGGTTACGTATGAAACATAGATGTCAGTAAAAATCGTACACTGTTGGTAACATTGGAAATCCGGTGAATCCCCCATTGTTTTTTCTGTAACAATGCTTAGCAACGATTGAATCTAGTTGATTTAGCAGCATTCTGATTGTTATTAAGAAAGACATTAAAAAAGACTTAAAGTGCGACAAACTATAATAACGGAGCGTGAATTAGTTATTTCTCACTATAAAAGCAAAAAAAGTTATAATGAAATTAATAAAATTATTAATCAAAGTAGAAGCACAGTTTAATGTATAATAAAATGATACAAAGAAGAGGACCGTGTACTGAATAAATTAAAAGAGAGGTCTGGTAAGAAACTGAATATCAGGGATGAATGATGGATTGTTAGAAAAATTAAAAAAATTAAAAGTATTTAAATAAGAAAGCAAGTGATTCAACCATTAGAAGAGTATTAAGAAAACAGAAGTATCACCGTAGAGTTGCTCGATAGAAGCCGTCCATAAGATTGCAAAATAGGAAAAAGTGGTACGAGTTTGCTAAGTATAAAGGAACAGTTTACTTTTTGGAAAAATGTAATTTTTACTGACTAATCGAAATTTAATATCATCGGTTTAGATGGAAGAAAAATTGTATGGAGAAAACCAAATACAGCTATGAATATTAAAAATCTCAAGGTCTCAAATGGTCTTGGAGCTGCATGTTAGCATCTGGCTTTGGAAATCTGATATTTATTGATAATATAACAGATAAGTGCCACTTATTAAGTGGTCGTATTTGAGTATATTAAAAAATAATTTAAAAGTGCCGAAATTGGGGATTTTAAACGATTTGAAATTTTACGCCGATAACGATCCAAAGCACAATTCTTCTTTCTCCGCGCTTTCGTTCGTGTTCCACGGTAAACAAAAAATAATCTTTCGTTCGTCGTAACTACCAAGGTAGACTCGCGAAGAAAGCAAAAGCCAACAAAGAAATCGCATTAAGTCTTTGTTCAAATATTACACACCTCCCGGGCCTCTCGTTCACTTAGAGGCGATCCGTACGCCGTAACATTTGACCAGTCGTTCGGTTGCGGCGTTTTCGAATGTGCCCGGGCAGTTTTATTGGTAGAAAAAATAGAAAAGGATGGATCGTAAATGCAGCACCGAATAACAGGGTAGAAGAAGTAAGAACGGAGTTTGCATTGAGGGATAATAAATGTAGAAACGATTATTTAATGAGAAACTTGCCGGGCTCGCCTTTACGAGGAAATAACATCGAAACTGTCGAGTATGAGCTAATTAGACGGAGCATAAAAATTGTATATCTATATTGACCGCGATGGACGCCGCCGTAATCATTGTTAAAGATGACTTAATCCACACGGGTACTAATTGATAAACCTACTTGAAACTCATATTGAATTAAATAAATATTGTTCGAGGTTTCCAATTAACTTTCACGTTGCTTAACGTTTTTAACGACGCTCGTTTTATTGAATTTGAAGGCGAGGCAAAGCGGCGCTGAAAATTATATAGCGGATGCTATTAAACGAAATACACATATTATACGACAGATGTTCTCAAAAGGCACCGACGAATTCTATAAATTGATATCGAGTTCGACTTTGATGCCAACCGTAGCGAGTTAAGACGACCATAGAATCGAAAAAATAAAAATTTGCTAGAACATAATGATGTTGTAATAATTTTTCAACAAGCCGGCAACGGTCCATCGGTTGCGTTACGCGCTCATAAAAACCGAAGCTGCTTCCACGTTGCATCCGCTGTTTCGTGCTTTTACGAGGCAAATGAGGGATTATAGAATGAACGGTCTCTCTTTTCTCAGCTGTTCACTGCATCGTTTAGGAACATTACAACTCGCCACTTCCTTTCTTATTTTCCATATCTGTACGCGGAGAAATGTTGAATACTCGGGCGGGAAATTATAAGGAAAAATCTTCGAGCAAACAGAAATTGTGCCCTTTCGTTCGACCGAATGTGGGAGCTGTTAGATGCGATGTGAGAATTTCTTTTGCAAAACCGATGTAAAAGCGAGATAATTATTTTTTCAGTTACAGAGAGCACTTTTGAGACTGCAACGCGATGCAGCCTTTCGTGCGCCGTCTTCGATGTTTATCGTTTTTAATTTGAACGAAGACGAGTTGGATCTTCGCGAGGCAGAAGGAAGCGCGAGACGAAGTCGAAAATGATCCCGCCGGGATATTAATACAGAAGCTATCGTTGCTCTGATCTTCGAGAGCTGATAATTACATGCATTCAGGATGAGCCTGATTTTAACATTGTACCGAGCTAGACCGTAGGTACGTCTCTAGTAACTAATTGCGCAGGGACGTAAAGAAGCCTTGATAATTCCTCGAGCATGTAGCCGCGCAATTAAGGTGTAACGTTTCGAAGTTCTGGTCGTAAACAACGCGGGCAAAGTAGCGGAACCTCCGAGGCTCGGTTCCGCCCGTCAATTGTTACCAATTGTTGCCAATCAGAGTAATACGTGTCATTATGGCGAGAAGGTTAGCAGCAATGCGCACCACTCCGCCGTATACCGATCTGATTACACCGCTGGCAATATTAATTTGACGATAATTGCGCGGTGTCTGTCAAACACGCGCGAAACCTCAAGAAAATATATTATACTATTTAATCGGTTGTCTCGTATTAACAGTTCGTTGACCACAACTGGCATTACTTTTATCGCGATTACTTTGTTTCAACTTCGTGCAACAACTCGAGACGCGTCGCGTTTACACCGTATAATAGTATCGTATCAACGCGATCGACCGTTCATTATCCCCTGTTAATTGATACAATAGCATCTCTATGTACAAGAAAGAGCATTCGTTTCTTGGCGCGTCTTTCATACAGGGTGTCACGGAAACTGTAAATAGGACCCTTGATCTGCTAGC